TTTTCCCTACTACAACGTCCGTTCCCCCCTGCTACAGCGTCCGTTACGAAGTCTTCGTTACATTTTTTCAAATCACGCCACTTCTAAAAAAGTTTTCACTTCAAAAAAAAATATAAACAAGATGAACAAATGATATTAATTGAAATTTTACCTGATTATTAATACACTGGAAGAGAGAAATATTAGTGAGCGTTAACTAGAATGTTATCCCATCATTTAAAGCGAATGACTATCGTTGCTTGACTGCGTATCAAAAAAGGTCTTATTAATAATTCATYCCTCCTTAAATCACTACCATCTCCACAAAATCCATAATAATTATCATTTTATATTACGACCTATATTCATTACGTCACTCACAGTTACGGGTTATACAGATTAAGAWATTTTTCTAGTCAATTGATTAWCTTTGTCTGCTTACATTGTAATTATTTTTTTATATCAATTACTCATAGTTCCTTCAATCAATGGATATTTCATAAAGTAGATCTTCTTTTAGGATGAATATTAAAAAAAATGTATTTCCTATTAAACAATCCTAGAAATTAGTAGTTTATATTCAACTGTGTTAATAAATCTTATATTATATATATTGTTATTAATACAAAAGAAATTTATGTTCTAGTCTAAAAATGTGGATTTTTAGTTCGATTTTAAGATTACTTAGGCAATAAATATAAGGCTTTAAAGTGTAAGCACTTTATTCTCCATGGAATAATTAATCGTGTTTTATATTAATGCTTCATGGGTAAAACAAATATTATATTCCTTAAAAGTAGAAGATATATATAATTTTCTTTAAAAATAATTAAGTCCACACACTACGTGCACTCAAAATAATCAGAATAAATTAAGAATAAATAACTAATTAAAAATATTTTATCTTATGCTTAGGAATAATATAGCAAAAAAATACACTAAAATTTAAAAAAACCTTAAAATTCCTAAAATTCTTTAAAAAACGACATTAAAAACATATTTAACTGTAATCCTTTTTTTATGAAAAAAAGCAATCTTTTCCATCAAAGGTTAAGAAAAAATTCCAAAGAACTGTAAAAAGTCATTAAAGTGTCCTGGTTTTAGATTTTTTACAATGCATTAGCATTCTTATTTACTTAATAAATTTAGATTTTTGAAAACTGCGATACAAATATCTCATCTTATAAAGCGATTTATTTTTATGCCACATATCGTTATAAAGTTTCTATTTTTAATTTATTTCATATGTTGTTGAAAAGGTAAACAAATTATAGAAAACCTGCTGCCCGGACAGTTTTAATATGTTGTCTGAACAAACGATCGTGCGTTGTTTTGGAAATCAATGATTGCCTAAATTTAAACAAAATGCTTGAGGCGAGAGAAACATTTTTAATGTTCGGTTTTCTACGTATCGACCGAAGTAAAAATTCAAATTCGAAAAAACAGTTTTTTATGGTTACTGCGTTACCTAAGTTAACTTAAAAAAAAAAAAGGCAAAATAAAATTTATATGCAAGTGAAAATGATGAAGCATATTATACATAACATTGCATACTCTCAGTTGTATTTATATTTTTATAAATGGTAAATATTTTATAGTCACACCCTATTCGTGCCTAGGTGGAAGTGGTGAAAAAGAACGCTATGAAATTTTTAGTTTGATATAATGAACATTAGAGGGCATTCAACGAGTAAAAAATGGTGTAATAATTCAGCTACAATTGAGCTTACTATAATTATTTATTATAATTTATTTTTACAATTATAGAGTAATTTAAAGACCTATCCACAATTTCCGATTAAGATGTACAAAAATAAAATCATAAATAAAACAACAAATTATGAAACAGTAATCATTTTGTTTTTTTAACGTAATTGTTAGTATCCGATGGAAAAATATTATGAAAATGAAAAAAAACGGGTGTGTGTTCCTATATATGTACACAGGTAATTAGTAATAGTACGTTGGCATACCAAAGAATAAATTACTCCAAAAATTTAATCCTTTGTGCTAACACTCTACAATTATAGAAAATAAGATAAAATAATAAAACAAAAATATTATTTATATTTAATAAAGTTTTAATTTATAAGTATATTCTAATTTAAATAACGTTCATTTATACATCATTAAAAAAATTATACTTATATAATTAAAATAAAATAAAAATTTTCTAATTTTATAAGTTATAGCTGTGCTCCGCCAAGCGTTGCTGTGGCCCAAGGTCAGTATGATCAAATTGAAAAGAAAAAATATTACGTGTGTAGAYCACACAAATTATAAGTGAAACCTATATGAAAGCAAGTTTTGAGAGTATCAGACGAGTTCGTAGTATCACGAAAAAAATAATTTATTATTTATTTTTGTTATTATCTTATTTCTCTATTTTTCTACAGTAGGTTATATTATTTTTATTGCAAGAATAATAGAAAGTATGGTTTATTATTGTAAAAAACGTGTCATTTTTCTTCTATTTAAATATTTTTTTATTATATTATATTATAAAATTYGTATAAGTTTCTTAATTACGCAAATATTACAATTAGGTATATAATTTTTTTATATGCCTTGTGGTCGATACATATTTTTTGATATTTAATATAAAAACGTATAAAAAATTAATTCAATGAACGTATTAAATCTATTATGAATCAAGTACATTTTATAAGAAAAGAAAAAAAAATGTAACAATGATTTATTTGCTTTTGAACGAAATTTTTCAGCTGCTTCTAATATATTCTACAGTGTGGCCTTATTCTTTCTCTGTGATGTATTTTGTAATCATTTTTTTTTTTTTGTAAATTATTGCAGGAAATACAATTATTATATCCGATGTAATTCATAATTATTTATTATAATATTTGCGCAATAAAGAATTTTGTACGAATTTTTCAATAAATTAGAAACATTTAAACATAGAAGAAATATTACCCGCCGAATAAACCGTGATCAAGATTGGAGAAAAATATTATTAAGGAATCTTAAGAAAATATGATACGAAGACCGTGAATGGAGAGATCGCACACGGGGGCAAGAACAATGAAGGGATTTGGTAATTGCGGCAATGACATTTCGAGTTCTAAATGCCAAATAATGATAGTTATAGAAAGTAAAAACAATCATATGCTTAATGAATAAAATATTTTAATAGAATTATAGACTTTTCAAAGATCCCACATTTTAAAAAAAACACATAGAAACATGGAGGACAAGTAGTTGTATCGTTTGTTTTCATTGCAATCGTCAGTTACAATGACAAAAACATATTATGAAAACGAAAAAACAGAATCATGTCTTTATATTTAAATAATCCATCACTTCCTTCATCAAGTAGATGTATGGCAATTCAAACATCAACGATACCATGTAAGAACATATGTATGTAATTACTGAGTATGCAGTAAATAAAATTATCTGCAAAATGAAAAAAAAATAACGTAGAGGAAAATAATTAATAATTCATTTAATCAATCTTTAAAATCCAAAAATAATAGAAAAATACATACGAAAGAAGAATAATTAAAGTGAAGAGAACTTTCACTTAAGAAATTCATAGAACTTATAATAATTGGATTTAAAAGAAAAGCTGCATAAGTCAATCTACTAAAAGGTATCCAAACTTTACACGAAAGAATACTATTTACTATTCCTAAAATATAAATCGATTTAATTAATAATAATTGTTAAGTAATAGTGTCGAAATGAAGAATAGAATCAGATATTTATTTATACCTCCATTATTTGTACAACATGCTATTAATAGCCATGCAATRCCAATTGCCCATACAGTTCTACTGAGAGCAACGTAAATAGCAGTAGTTAAAACTGAYATTCTTCTYWWATATAATCCAAACAGTACTAATAAATTACATAAACTGGCCAGTATCGAAAAGAGTATTATTGTTTTCTAAAATCAGTTTTWTCAACATTAGTGTAAACWTYAACATCATCAAGAAAATAATATGATAATGAAGTATTTATAAGCGCTAAACKATCRGAATATTTKTTTACTCTTTTCCATAATAATTTGTTGTTTAATTTGACAACAATATAGGCAGTCATCACACCCACTATGTAAGGTCCTATCCTAATCCATGGTGGATAGTATATTACGTCCATTAAATTTAATAGCTTATCCATTCTGTAATGCAATTCAACAAAAAACTATTAATCAAATAACTCTTTCATTAAAGAATACTTTTATGTGATTATCTATCTATATAAATACGCTTGTCGCGAAGTGTCCAGCATTCTGAATATATGTTTAATTGTTATGCTTAAATGATRACAGTTAAAATGCTCAAAGTATGGATTTTTATATAACTAAGGGTTACAGAAAAGTTAGTAAAGAGTATGCATAATTGTTTACAAGACGTTACTCTTCTCAAAGATAGTCATATTTAATATTCAAAACTTCAAAAATATCTGTTCAGATACTATATGCAAATATCCTAGCAATTTTACGTTAGTAAGTAATGAATCCAAACTATTGAATATATATTGTTCGATTTGCCTAAAAATTTTCATGAGTAATAAAAAAAGTTAAACCTTCAATCATTGTTAATATTATATTTATATGTGTTGTGTAATGAAGTTAATATAGTAAATAATATATTTCATAGCAAGTGTTCCAATGCTTTCCTTAGTCACAGTAGTTAATGNATGTAATTCATAATTATTTATTATAATATTTGCGCAATAAAGAATTTTGTACGAATTTTTCAATAAATTAGAAACATTTAAACATAGAAGAAATATTACCCGCCGAATAAACCGTGATCAAGATTGGAGAAAAATATTATTAAGGAATCTTAAGAAAATATGATACGAAGACCGTGAATGGAGAGATCGCACACGGGGGCAAGAACAATGAAGGGATTTGGTAATTGCGGCAATGACATTTCGAGTTCTAAATGCCAAATAATGATAGTTATAGAAAGTAAAAACAATCATATGCTTAATGAATAAAATATTTTAATAGAATTATAGACTTTTCAAAGATCCCACATTTTAAAAAAAACACATAGAAACATGGAGGACAAGTAGTTGTATCGTTTGTTTTCATTGCAATCGTCAGTTACAATGACAAAAACATATTATGAAAACGAAAAAACAGAATCATGTCTTTATATTTAAATAATCCATCACTTCCTTCATCAAGTAGATGTATGGCAATTCAAACATCAACGATACCATGTAAGAACATATGTATGTAATTACTGAGTATGCAGTAAATAAAATTATCTGCAAAATGAAAAAAAAATAACGTAGAGGAAAATAATTAATAATTCATTTAATCAATCTTTAAAATCCAAAAATAATAGAAAAATACATACGAAAGAAGAATAATTAAAGTGAAGAGAACTTTCACTTAAGAAATTCATAGAACTTATAATAATTGGATTTAAAAGAAAAGCTGCATAAGTCAATCTACTAAAAGGTATCCAAACTTTACACGAAAGAATACTATTTACTATTCCTAAAATATAAATCGATTTAATTAATAATAATTGTTAAGTAATAGTGTCGAAATGAAGAATAGAATCAGATATTTATTTATACCTCCATTATTTGTACAACATGCTATTAATAGCCATGCAATACCAATTGCCCATACAGTTCTACTGAGAGCAACGTAAATAGCAGTAGTTAAAACTGATATTCTTCTTTTATATAATCCAAACAGTACTAATAAATTACATAAACTGGCCAGTATCGAAAAGAGTATTATTGTTTTCTAAAATCAGTTTTTTCAACATTAGTGTAAACTTTAACATCATCAAGAAAATAATATGATAATGAAGTATTTATAAGCGCTAAACGATCAGAATATTTTTTTACTCTTTTCCATAATAATTTGTTGTTTAATTTGACAACAATATAGGCAGTCATCACACCCACTATGTAAGGTCCTATCCTAATCCATGGTGGATAGTATATTACGTCCATTAAATTTAATAGCTTATCCATTCTGTAATGCAATTCAACAAAAAACTATTAATCAAATAACTCTTTCATTAAAGAATACTTTTATGTGATTATCTATCTATATAAATACGCTTGTCGCGAAGTGTCCAGCATTCTGAATATATGTTTAATTGTTATGCTTAAATGATGACAGTTAAAATGCTCAAAGTATGGATTTTTATATAACTAAGGGTTACAGAAAAGTTAGTAAAGAGTATGCATAATTGTTTACAAGACGTTACTCTTCTCAAAGATAGTCATATTTAATATTCAAAACTTCAAAAATATCTGTTCAGATACTATATGCAAATATCCTAGCAATTTTACGTTAGTAAGTAATGAATCCAAACTATTGAATATATATTGTTCGATTTGCCTAAAAATTTTCATGAGTAATAAAAAAAGTTAAACCTTCAATCATTGTTAATATTATATTTATATGTGTTGTGTAATGAAGTTAATATAGTAAATAATATATTTCATAGCAAGTGTTCCAATGCTTTCCTTAGTCACAGTAGTTAATGTAATAATATGGTCAACTAATGCGTAAGTCGCTATTAAAAAAGAGTTAGTGTCTTTAATACGCAAAGAAAGGATATGTATTACTACAAAAAGTTMGTACAAATCCCGATTTTTTAGAACATTTAATTAAATGTATTTTAAGTCTATAAAATGTCAAGCGAGTTTCGACCAATCTAAAAAATATGCTTAAGTTGACTGCGTCTAGAGTCGGATTATAGGTTACTCGAGTTTTCACAGCCAGTTTAATTAACAATAGTTTAAGATTCCMCACTTCAGCATAAAACACAATTAACTAAAACCTATTTTACAGATTAAACGAAACCATTTTTGYATTCTGTAAAATAACAAAGCAATGTGTGAAATCCTTCTCATTACGTACAATATCCGTTTTAGGTAAACCTTCTATATAATGCTCGTAAAGTATACATTACCATATACATGAATAATTATTAATATTGATATTTACGTAGGAATAAAATTATAAATGTATGATATGTAGCCAGTAAGAATTATTGACGAGGTAAACARTATACCCAACAAACTAGCYGCTATTTTGAAGTACCTGAAATGCAATAATGCTTGATTAATTAAACTCTTTTTTAAGTTTCTTAATTTCTGCYTAATATAGATTTTTTAAGYAAAAACAATGTTTTATAAAAATATGAGTTTACTTACGTTGAAGATAAAAATAACAGAAAATTTATTATRAGGAAGTACTGCATATCGTTCGCCAAGTACCAACTCCAACTCATACACTGCAAGGATCGATGTCGATAATTAATATTATATCGATTATTCATTAGGAATACGAGAATTAAAAAATTGCTGTTATCGTAAGTCCATACCAAATCTTGTTGACTAAAAAGGTTGTGAATATAAAGGATATTTCTCCACCAATATTTTTGACAATTTTCGTGGTTACGTTCCGTTATAGGAAAGAGGGACGTTTTACTGTACCACGTTGCACTTATCTGCACTAATCCGATTAATACCATGAATGTAGGTGTCAATCTAAAATAGCAGAAGTAGCGAAAAAAAAGTAAGATATTCTAATTACTTATATTTCTTATTTTGAACCAATTTATGTAAGAAAACCATAAAGTTTTCTAGCACTTTTCTAGATTGACTAAAATTTTACAAGAAATTTGTGTTTGTGAAGTTTCTAATTTTAATTGATAGGTACAATTAAAATTTATTGAGATTTTTTTTCCCTACCTTCATACTATAAAAATTCCTAGCAAAAAAGAATTTTCTAGGTTGATTTATACTTTCATTTCATTTTATAGAATAACCGAACAATTCGTGAAAGTCATTCTCCTTTTACACATTACCTATTTAACGTAGAAACTCCACAGTATGCCCGGGCGGGCATTGCTCAAATAATTCGAAAAAAACATATTATTTTCTCATTGTTTTTATAGTCATTTTATTTAATATTAGCTTTTAAAAGTGTTATTTACCTATCCACACATATAAAGTTTTTCGAACAAAGAATTGTTTTTCTGAGCGATCAATATACGAGACATAATTGTTATTAATATATTTTGTAAAATAACAAAATTATACTTACCATGCTTAGATTTGAAAAACCTTATACATAAATTACTTCAATTATATTAGATATTTGACATTTATAAAAATGGTCTTACCTAATAAACCTTTTCAGGAGAACGATAAAATATAATTTTATTGTATTTAAATAATCATTCGGTTTACTTATATTCTTGCTCATGTCTTTTTTTACATACAAGTATGCGACTAGGAAACCACCAATATAAAAAAATGTATCAACTGCCAGCATTCCTCCATTGTATATTATTTGACCAGCAAATTCTTGTTTTTTTCTTAAACCAATTGACCGGTTTTCTTTTATTAAAAATAGAAAAATGAAGATAAAGTTAATGTATAATAATAAATAAATTTAATTAAAATATCTTTTGAGAAAGTTATTTAAATTCAATCTTAATAAATAAATCTTTACCTAAAAAATCCTTTGAATAGTAAGATAGATGAAATAAAATAATCATTATCATCGCAAAAAATCGTAATCCGTGTATAACCGGAATACCAGTATTCTCAGATTTCATATTAAATATTCTTTTCGTGTTTGTATATGCAGAAAAAGCTAAGAACATGTTCCAAAGAAAACTTTGGTAATTTAGTTTTTCTTGTTGATCCTTGTTATTATCGTTTAACTCTTGAGTGTCACCTAAAAAGATTAATATAATAATATAAATATAATTGTATTTTCTTAAAAGTTAACTACAATATCACTTTATTATTTTTACTAATCACTTAAGGTCTCATATGAACAACAAGAACATACAGGAGGCCATTATTAATCTATAAGCGATAATTAAGTATAAACAAAAAATTTTTTAAGAAATAATTCAAGCACAAAACTATATTACAACAAAAGTGTTACAAATTATTAAATAAACTAACCKCTTGCTTGTAAATTGTCTCGGTCTTGAATATATTTKTWATGTTTCTTTAATTGTTTTTGATATATCAGAAGATCGTAAGCCGTTCCTATTATCGTTAATAGTAATGTAAGTACGATTATTACTCTAAACAGAAAACAACAACAAAATATAATTATATTGTATATTTCTTGCGGGACAATCGAAAATTGTAAAAGAATTATTGGTATACGTCATTGTAATAAATGTTCCACTTAATAACCATCGATGGTCATCGACTAGATCTCTTACTTCAACCAACGTAAAGTCTGCTGAATATAATTCGCCTTTAAAAAGAGTTCTATTTCTSAACAAGATTTCTAGAAGAGTAGAAAGATGGTCCTTCGAACAGGATGCTGGTAAGCACATACCTAATATAATCAAATCCTATAAAGAAAACTCAAAAAATTAAATTAGAAGTTTTTTAAATCACTTGTGTGTGTGTGTTCTGTTCTTAATAGAAACTTACTTCTTCGGACAATTCGAAGTGATATTGTAAAGTGCTATTATGTCGAATATGAGCAACAAAAAATTTCACTTTGAATGGTGGAAATTCTTCCTCCATATGACGATATTTTGAATTTTTTCGTAATACGTCTGGCGACAATTCATAGGGCTCTCTGTTTCCTGCATCTTCGCATTGACTTCGGCTACCCAACCAATAATTATTGCCGTATAAAAATCCTGATCTCGGTTCGCCGCTAGCATCGATTACTTAATAAAAAAAATAAAATAGTAAAAAAATAATTGTTTTTAATAAATAGTTTCATCTCTGAAACCGCTATAACTTTGTATACTTTTTATTTCGAATTTTTAAACAAATTATATTAGGAGTTACTTTTTCTCAAAACATGGTCGAAATCTATCCTAAATAAAAAAATGGATTCCTCGAAGTTGCCTATCGCGAATTACTATTGTATTTTGATTAAAGTGATTCACCGATATCACATAAATATAACCTTTATAAAGTTGAGTATTCATCTTTTTCAGCCAGCAACATTTTATGCTAAAATATGGGGCATTTATTGTCAAATCAATAACTTTTGATCTCGACCAATTTCGATTTAGCTACAATTTTATTATCATTTCCCACTTCATTAATAACGGCAAAGTTTTCGCCAATTGATAACTACAATAAATCTTCAGATTATCTAGTTACCAGATATTTAAAAATCAAAAGCATTGTAATAACTCTGCAGTTTCATAGCTTTATACTAAACAGTAATAGATGTTTTTTGTAAGAAATTATTCTAATTAAAACAATATACTTTTCGTAAGTTTTTTAAGCAACCCAGGAAATCAAAAAAACATGTATGCCGATAACACGTGTTAGTAGTGAAACCTTCAAAAATTTAAGTTTCAAGAGAATGAAACAAATGGATAGTTTTAARAGTAAGATAATTGTAGGATTTATTTATTATAATATTATTACTTTATATAAGAAAAGTCACCGGTATAGTCTCTGGGTGGAATAGCTGATAAAAAGTGCACTTTTCACAATTCAAGCAATAAAAATGGAATGCTGGATGCGATAGCCATAGATAGAAACAGAAATGGTAGGATGTTTATCAAAGGAAATATAATTCGTCAGAAATTAAGTAAATATAAACAATCTTTTTTTTCAAATTCAGGTATAACATTTTTTTTGTTAGTATGGTTTTCTATTTTCCGTTTTCATCTACATTCTTGCGCYATATAAMARACATTTTAGGATAGATGAAATAAAGACGTTACGAAAAACATATGGAAAATACTGCTGGACTGAACGAAGGTTCTAGTAAAATGCAATGAAGGATCTAATAGAGATATTCTCTAGAAATATATTTTCTACTCTATAGCCTGCCACAATTCGAGACCGTTATTATTTATAACATATCTCGTCTTTATTCTTTGGACCACAAACTTGCCTTTCTAAATACTCTAAGCAATGAAAAATCTAAAAAATGCATTGAATCGTATCTCTCTCAGCTTATCGAACTAAATACACTACGAGTCTCAAATTTTAGCTCCGTGGTAAGCTCCACCGAATCACGCTGGGCGTTCAACATCCTAAAAATGTTTTTATTTTATTGAAAAATTACTATAAGTTTCTTAAATACGCAAATATCACAATTTATAATATAATTTTCATATATGCATAGGTCAGTACATCTCTTTGGATATTTTTCATAAAAACATATAAAAATCAAATTTAATAGACATATTTTATCTTTAGGTATCAAATATATTTTATAAAGAAGAAAAATATAAAAATGTGACAGTAATTTACTTGCTTTTGAATGGAATTTGTCAGCTGCTCCTAGTGTATCCTACAGTGTTCTTTAATTCTTTTTCACTGATGTATCTAGTAATCCTTTT